TTTAGCAACAATCTCACATACTGTACATATTGTATTGTAAGTAATTTAAAATCATTTTGCACAATAGTTGCTATTTATCCCTAATGTTATTGTAGCTCCTGATGTTGGTGGCATAGGCCATTGAAAGCTAGAGCCTAATGAAGTATAAAAAGTCCTCATTGCTTGAATCTTGTCGAAGTATTCAACTAAAGGCGGAAGCTTTATTTTTCACCTAACTGGTCTAGACGACAATGACCACGTCTCAAGTGATGGAGGGTTTTTGAATGGAACCCTTGCAAAAAAAATTTGGAAAATGATCAGGGGTATCTGAAACGTCAACGAAGTTTTTGGGCTTTTTTCCGCCGCCACTGGACCTATTTTCAAAAATTGCACAGATTTTTCGTCCTTGGTAAAGTAGTAACATTGTGTAAAAATTTCATCAAAACCCGAGCAGTACTTCTCAAGTGAGGCGGATATAAAGTTCCCGGACAGACCGACGGAACGATAATATGTCATTTTCGAAAATTTTCACGATTACAATTCATCCTTGCCAGTAGGCGTGAAATGTAAAAATCGAGATATATGGTACCTCCAATACCCCCCTCATCTCCAATTTTGAACTTCTATAAAAATTCTGTAATCACTGGCCTCCGAAACGTTAAAAAAACTTATTTCGCTTTTTGACCGTGGTTACGACCCCACCCGTCCTTGGGTAAAAATTCTATCTAAATCAGATCGGAGTAATTGACCGACCGAGGATAAACGATTAGACTGACCAACATATCGTCGGAAATGAGAATCAGATGGTTTTTCGTGATGTACATGTCATCTAACATCCCTGAAACATAAGATCTCATATTCGAAATTTTTCGCAATGACACCTCCTCGTCAATGTCGTGGAAATTTAAAAGATTTGCACCTTATATTTCCTTTGCTCGAAGGTAGTACTCGCATGCCCAAAGTCAAAGTAATTCGAAGTACTTTAAAATAATACACCAATCCACGGATTTCATTTGCGTCAATTTAGAAAAGGGATAGTCCCTTAAATCCCTCGTATGAGTACGCCCATGCTCAAAGGCAGACCGCCTCAGCTCCGGTTGACTTTGAGCGTCGAAGAAGGATCGTTGCACCCTCCGCGGGGTGGCAAGACGCGCGGGGGCAGTACCAGTACGACCTCCAACGCCACGGCATTCCACTCTAGGGTTAAAAAACTACGCGCCGCTTGCACCGAAGGGAGTCACAGACACTGATTTCCTAGCCTGTCTGTACGTTTGTTTGTCTGCCGCGGTATCAGGTGCAAGAAGGACGGCAGGTTGTACTGCCGCCGTCGACCGTGACAAAAACTGTATTGTGCTAGTCCCTTTTGCTATTTTTTTTCGTTATCTGGGTTGCTTATCGTTCGGTGCGAGGCGCACTGAGCGGTCGTGTAGTCGGTATCAGTGCCAGTGGGCCGCTGTGCGGATATTGTATTATAGCCAAGATGTACACTTTTGCGGTAAGTTTAAGAGTCTGTCTTTTTATTAGGCGCTTAAAAAATGTTTTAATGTCGCATGTCGCTTTTTTCAACGGCCTATCTGGAGGAGTGTTCTTAATACCTTTCCTCTGAATGTTTCGTGATGTGTATAGAGATGAATGAAAAATAACATTAGCAGTTTATTTTTTATCATAATATGCATTTTATCTTTATTCGTAACTAATTTTTTTGTTTCTTTGCTGAAACATTTATTTAACATTAATGCTACAATGTCAATTTGGTGCAATTACTTGTTCACACATTTTCTGAATAATTTTTTTGTAATTTGTCTATTAAAATTGCATTACTGTACATTTTAAGTATTCATAAAGCGACTTTTTAATTTCACCTTAAACAGTTTTAAATTCTAACACTGTTTAATATCATTATTCAAATTATTGAATTCAAATAATCTTTTTGAAATATAGATTTGCTAGTTATGCTACTATAACAATTTTGCAAATGAAAATCTATACTGCCTCTACTTTCGTACTTATAATAATGACTATTTAATTTTGTTAAGTTTGCTAAATGTGGTGGTAAAGAATGATTTTTTAATTTGAATGCAAAAATGAGAACATAACATAACATTTTTTACATTTACCACTGTAGTTCTTCTAACATAGATTTAATCTTAGCATATTTGTTTTTATTTAAAATGATTCTCATAGCTTTATTTTGTAGAATTTGTAATATTAAAAATATGTTTTTTTTGGAATTTATACAGCTCTAAAATTGTATGTGAATATTCAACTGTTATGGAAAAATTGAGCAGGTGATTACATTTTTCCTATCACTTTCAAACTCAATTTGTTACAAAATGAGATTTCAAGAAAATCAAAGATTTTTTGAAGAGAAGAAGTTATAAGAATAAAAGTAATCACCTACTTAAGTCTACTATGAAAGTGAAATTTTGATATACAGTTTCAGAGATATACTAATATTTGTTAACTAGTTACGATTTAAGAAAAAAAAAACAATAAAATGTAGAAATAATGCATTTTTGACAAAAAAATTATATCATTGTTTTTTCAGTCATCTCTATACACACCATGAAATAATCAGATGAAAAAAACTTAGAATATTGCAACATCTTACCTTAAACAGGCTGGCTCTACATTTGTCATGCCATAAAATATTAGTTTGAAAAGAAATATTAAGTTGTGAATGAGTTTTTCTGTAGTTAATAAAAAAGCTATATACTTATTCAAAAAAAAAACTACTTTTGAAGCTCAAAATCTCTACAATTTCTTACGTCTAAAAAAACGAATGTCTCCATGACCAGTGATAATTGAAAAATCCATTAAAAGGTCAACAAATCCGTCGAACTGCATGTGAAGGAGAGTCCATCTATTTGACGCCTTTTTTAAACGCTATATCATTTTCCCGATTTTTCGTGATTCGCATTTACTTGCTAAAACAGAATCTGGGAAGGTTAGCTCCCTTACAAAGGCACAAAAGTGAAGTTCAAATTGGAGCAATAGTTCATATATAGGGTGATTCAAATTGGGTTTCCTCATTAAAAGTATTTAAAAAAAGAAGTAATTGACAATTATAAAAAAATATATATTTGTCCTTTCAGGATAGTTCATTACAATTATGCATGAAAGATGATATCAAGTGAATGATCGCCGCGACTCATGTGGCATGACGTAATCAGTTTCGAGAGATTTTCGACTACTCTGTGGCACAAATCAGGTCTTATGTTGGTAATTTAATAATAATAATAATAAATGGGCTTTATTTCGTACCTAAGTAAAAGTACAAAAAGGCGAAGTGTCGTTAAGATTAGCGTTTTTCAACTTAACCTTAACAAAAATATATATAATAAAACATTCCATAAACAAAAATGTATCCATAATTCTCAATAATTACTAAATAATTAACAACACAAAAAAAAAAGAACAATTACAAGAATAGTCCATATTTCTAGCATTTTGTATTCATCATCAGACCTTGACTTGTAGTTTTAGTTTAAGCCTCTTTTTAAAATTAAATAATGTATAGTTTTGGAATGTCTGATCTCCTGTTTCAGTTTCGCAATTGTGTTCGGGTTATTCTTATAGACTTTGCTCTTAAGATACCCCCAAAGAAAATAATATAAGGGAGTTAAATCACAGGATCGCGGCGGCCAATTAATATCGCCGTTACGTGAAATAACGCGACCTGGAAACTTGCCGCGCAGTAATTATTGTATCGTTTCTTCTGATGTGTGGCCTAGGCTTCATTCCTTGTGTTATTTGGACTCTGTATGGGTGTAACTTCAAATCTTTCATTAAAATCCGCTGTGGAGTGGAATAGGTAAGGTCCAGTTGCCGCGATCGATGACGAATCAATGTTCTTGGATTTTCGGCCACACTTTCGGCAACAATAGCAATATTGTGATCCGACCGACCTCTACGAGCATGCCTAGGGGTTTTGATGTTAGCGACGGATACAGTTTGCTCGAATTTCTGCACCAAATTCCAAATTGTTCTCTCACAAGGCCGATTTTGTGCGCCAAAAGGTTCAAGTAAAGCACGAAATGTATAATTCCTTGATCGGCCGTTTTCATTATAGGCTTGGATAATTTTAACACGTTGCCCCATGACTGTTTTGTTTACATTTTGACGTTAGAAATGGCACGTTGTCGTTGACAAATTCAGTAGCCTTTCAAAAAAAAATTATTTGTAATGTGGAAACTCAATTTGAATCACCCATTAGAAATAACACCCCATGCTTTTGAGATGCACTGTTTTGTTGAACTTTACAAACTTTAACAAAATGGGTAAATTGTGAGCAAACATTCCGATTCCTATGTAACCTATTTTCTACTTCAAAATCGGTCCCATGATACTTCATTTTTTGACGGTCACGTTCGAATTCAGCGCCCCCAAATGATCATCTTTCTAATCTACCAGATAAGGTAAAGTCAGAAACAAACGTGAGGTCCTTCAAACAAAATTTGAGAATGTTTCTGACCGATCAGTGATTTTATAGTGTTGAAGAGTTTTTCTCTTGCAGGCATATTTAACGTTTTAAGTGTGGGAAATTTGTTTTTATTATCACCTGTTTTATTTCATTTTACTGTTGTTTTAGTGTTATTTTCTCCATAGTTTTAAGTTTTATTGACAATTCCTATATTTGTTTTTTGAAACATCAACACGAAAATAAAGAATATGAATTTTCCGTGTCATAATTAAAAAACTCGATTTTGAAAAAATCTCTATGAGACTGAGAATTCCATTAATGAATTAAAATTTTCGAGATATCGAAACGAAAATTTTTATTTGTAGATCATAAAGCTGCACATTTACATAACTCCAATAAGAATTCAGGAAAAGAATATAAAAACATAAATACAATCAGGTGATAAATTGTTTATAGTTGACTGCCCTATTTCATCCCTATCAGTCTGCTACGTCTCCAAGGATAAGTAATGTCAGTGAATGGCATCAGTGTCGTTAAACCCTTGGTTCAGAAGCTTGTTCTCAATTCAATGAAGATGATGAAACCGGCCCTCAGAGTAATTGGACTGACTACAAAGTATACCTTTTACAGATAACTGCTCTCCTTATACTCCACACAACCACCTCACTGCCCAGTTCAACTCCATCACCAACAGCAAATCCACAAACTACAACCACAGCCAAAAACCAGACCACGCAAGATAAAGAAGCGCTCCAAACTTTAATGACACAACAGGCAGAGAACATAAAGAAAATTGTGGCAGATCAAGAGGATCAGATTAGAGGAGACTATCCGGTTTTATCCAGTAAACAAGATCTCCAAAGTAAAGATCTGGAGAGCATGACTCTGGAGGAGTTGAAAAGCAAATGTCAGCAGTTGTATAGGTTGTTGAGTGCTGCCAATAAGACGCAACAGCAACAGCCCTTGGTCAGCAATAACAGGTAAATACAGTACAAAATCTGACTAATTTCAGCGAATTCAAAAAAAAAATTTCGCCCAGAAGATACTATAAGTCAATTAAAAGCACGTTTTTCGAGCCTTAATGGAAACGGGCATATGTACACGTAGACCACTTGTTTCCAACTATATAAATGTTGACTACCGTCTTTGATCGTCAGCGTCGCCACATATCGGACTTTTAATCGGTGAATGACATTTTTAGTAGTAAGAATAAATCACAAAGATGGAGTTCTTTCTGTTGATTTTCGTTCAAAATGGGTTAGCAACTATCGCTGTTTTAATTAGTCGCAACATACAAAGCATATAAAATGTTTATGTCAACAGTTGAACTGAAACGGAATGTTTAACAAATGAGTATCTTACGCGTTCTTCTTCTTATGATGCGGTCTTCTTCATAGAAAGTTGGCTACAATTCCGTCAAATCGTCTTAGCGATCCTCAAACGTGTGAATTTTGGCCGGTAAAGTCTCTTTCATTCTTGAGCCAGGAACACTGTCTCCTGCCTGGACACCTTCTTCAATCTCATCTTCCATTATTGATCTTGAAAATTCATACCTTAGCCTCTATATAAATGTCCCAAATAACCAGCCTTTGGTTTTTTTAGCTATCTTTAGTATTTCTAGATCCATACCCATTCTTCTCAATACAGTTTTGTTAGAATTGTGTTACACGTTACATACTCGTACTAGTGTTTAGTATTGTACGCTGTAGTCACCTAGTACAGTGGACAATAATATTCTCAAAATAAACAACTCTTCACATATTCAAACCCTAACTTAAGAAGAAATATTTAAAGATGCTTTTTGTAGATTGGTGAATCACAAATTGCCAGAGACATCAGCCCGTCCAGTTTACGTCCAAATGAAACCCAGCTACAAATCTAAATACCCAACAACTATAAAACCGACTGGCTTCTACGTCACTCAACCTCATGTCGCAACTACTACAAAAAGACCAGCTACCAGCACACCATCCACACCACCGATCAAGTATATCCGATTGGAGCCAGTGATACTGCAGAAAACAATTTTGAGTGACGGCAGGACAGTCTACTATTGGCACAGAAGTTTACCAACAGCTGTCGAGTATTCAAACACCCAGCAGACTTCTAACTACTATCAGCCACCACAACAATTTCAACATCTTCAGCAACAGCAGCAACAGGTATCTTTTTAAAGTTAGAGAAAACTAGGATACGTTCATATCGAAGATGACTCAATGTCTTGTACCATCCTGAGGTACATAGACATAAGACAAATTTGTTCAAGTATAATGGTTCCTTTATAAAGTAATTTAACTTGCTAACATCTTAGGGTCACTTTCACGAGTCTCCATTAGTTTTTAAGTCTACTGAGGTGAACAGCTGATCAGCAAGTGACATATTTGTATTAAAGTCTGTAGTGTTGGCAATAATGAGTCGGGTCCGTATTGTGTTGTTGTAAACTGTTTATACCAAACATAGTCAAAACATTGTGTATCTTGTTTTATTCTTACCTGACTTGAAATATAGACATGTTCATTCTAAACGAAACAGTTGTTAGGAAGTATGAAGCCATTGCATACTGAAGATTACCACAAAATATAGCTCTTTCTATAGATCTAGCGTTGACAGATCCGTCAGAATTGCATGACACTTGTCGATACTGGGTATTTTGAAATGTTACTAGATAATTAGCTGTTATTTGCTGTGACGTTAGATATAAAGGAGTCTTGTCAAATTGTCCACAGGTTGAGTTATTATTATTAAGTTAGGTTAAGAGTTACAATTATTGACATTACTTGAGGACCGACTGTCGTTTTAAAAATCATCCAGCATTGGGCTTGAAACATACAATAATGCTTAATTCAGGAACGTTCGAGGGAGGATATTAAGTATACCAAAATTTAGAAAATTTTATAAATTTGCACGGTTTTCAATATTTTCGATGCTGATGAAATCCAAAGATTTTCAAAATCTTCAAATTTAAGTGATTTTATAAAGCTGACATGAGACTGTTCATGCCTAAAGATGTTTACTAGTGTAAGGAAGTAAGATATTGGAGTAAGGCATCTGTGAAATTGTGAAACGAATTCTGTATTCAAAAATTACTCCCGACTATCTATTCAAGTGAAAAACCTTGTACTGACAAAATACTAAATTGTTACAGCCGTACCAACCAGCATATCCTGTGCATCAGTATGCTAGTAGGTATCCAGATTATCCTTCGGCAGGCAGCTACTACGTAGCATCGCCAGATAGCCTGGGTACCTATACGTCAAGATACCCTGGCCAACGACTAGTGGAAAATCAAGATAAAGCTCAAAGTAGTACTACTGAAGCAAGTACTACAACCACCACTGAATACAGGCACGTTTGACAACACATACAATAGATATACATACAATCAGCATATTACCACTAATATTCACAACTTCATCACTGCCTTTTATCACTAATACAATATTCTTTATGTGCCAATATCCATCTCTCTGTTTTAACATATCTGTTCTTTTTTGCAGTGGATATGGACTGGGCAACTTTCTACCATTCTATGGCCTATCGAGGTACGACTCGACCTCTAGCAGTACAACAGAACCAACAACAACCACTACAACTACCGCAAGGCCCGTCGCTGACAAATTCACACCAGCTGAAGATCTCATGTACGCACAACAACTAAAATTCATCATACCTGTCCCGTACGATTCAGGTACGGCTCAGTTTAGCGGGCATTACTAGGTAGTACTTTGAATGTGGGTTTCATGAGCCGTGCAGCAAATTCCGTAGTTTTCACGTATAACAAAATCTTCTAGAGATTATTTATTTGCCAATATTTCTAGGGTGGAAAGTATATTCAAAAATTACAAAAAAGTTCCCATAAGGACAAAACATGATCATGTTCATTGATTTTTGAAATAACGCTATGGATTTTCAAGGTCAAAATTCATTACCTTCAGCAGTTTCACAGTAAAACGGGTTCAAGTTTCTTATACCGGTTTTATCTCAAATATTCGAATCAATTTTTCAGTCCGAAAAAAATGTCTTAAGGAAACGATCCATGTAATATTGTAATAATTAAAATTTCAATAAACAATCCAAAAAGTCAGTAACGTAGAAGAAATTTTTCTTTTTCTTCTGTAGTTGTCAACATTTCCCAATTTCTATGCCTCTGGTATACTCCAAGGCATGAACCATTTTTTTTATGTATTGGTTATGATGCTAGTACTAAATGTGCAAAATTTTGAGTCAATATCTTAGTCCACTCCGAAGATATATTTTTTCCGATTTCAAAATTTCAACCTCTATACCCTGTATCTCGGTTAGAATTAAGGCCCATATTTATATGAACTTTTCGTGTTAATTTTAATCTACTTTACGTCCCAGAAATATTGCCACGTCTTTCTGTAACACCCTCTATATGGATATATCGCGAGTACCACACACAGCCGGAATCATACTTCCTCGCCTAGCGGAGATATTTCATCTTCTTTATTAATTACATAAATGACACGCCATTCAAAAGTGGGAACCGAATCATTACTGCTATTTACACTGCCTATGATGCTGCGTCTGTGTAATACTCATGACAATTTACTATATAAGTGCTTCTATAACGGTGTATGTTATTTCGTAGGAAGCAATACCGTTCGAAAACCCTGGGATTTTGACCCATACGCTTACTATCCGAAAGACCTTCAGCCGACCACAGTGAATGTAGAAGTACCTTATAGTCCAACCTTCCACATGATAAGAGCGATAGCCCTACCGAAAGCTGAAGATAAGTCTGACGAAATGACAATCAACAAGTAGTGAATAGGTAAGAATGTTCAATTTACATTGTTACACGTCCAAGACGATAAAAGAAAGAAAAAAAAAAGAATTTGATGTAAAATTTTACGAGCTAAGCTCAATATTTTTATATTGACGATAATGCCGCTCCTATATAAGTTTTAAAATAAATATGGTGCAAACTAGTTACGCAGTTTGTAAACATAAAAAACATAATAACATATCTGTGTAAGGTTCAAATAAGATCACAGATCTTATTTGCAGTCCAATGAGAACAGGCTCATTGTATAAGAAATTTCAAAAGCCTGGCAGTATAGTACTTAACATTTATTATAGTAGTGTCTCAAAAGACACTAAAATTATATGTATTGGTTTTATTGTGTTCAAAGTGCTAGCAAATAAGTGAGTTGTACAAATTTTAAGATCTTGATAATCAAGATATCGAGAAATATTCCGTACTATTTAGATACGATATGTTAATAAGTAGTCGTTACAGTAAATTTTTGGATGATAAAAAATTGCGTTAGATTCCATATTTTTATAGCACATTATTTTCCAAAAGTAAGCTCAAGGTTTAAGCTACGCAATTAGAACGTCAAACATTTTAGAGCGATAGCATTGTTGCCATATTAACTACTCAGTACTTACCTTTAATGTACTAACTGTATAGGAGTCACAGCCTCCATGTCAATTTAAAAATTGACACCTACCTGTGCTCAAATAGCTTTAAAATAGACGTAGTTAAGATAATGCGTAGATTTTAAACACATGAAATATAGTACGCACGTAAAGTTCAAGATATTTTATAAACGAGAGAGAATAAGAATGTATAGTATTTAGTATAGTCATTCGAATAAATGCTAATGATGTTCAACAGCAACGGCTTAAAAATGGGACATATAGGCATTTATAAAAAACTGTACAGTTCCACATACTGTTCGTAGATTTAATATTCGAAAACCTCTATTTTACGATTTTATAGAATATGTTTATCATGTTAATGGTTATTTTGAATAATCTACCTCAATATTTTATGAGAAAAGACTGTTAATATAATAATTAGATATTTACGTATTGAAAATAGTACTTAGAGCAGCATATACATAAGCAGGTATTAAGGTTTTGTTTGCTGCTATTTTACTCTTGTAAAAGGAAGTATTTTAGACGCAAAACTTATATATTATATATAAACTTATTAATGGTAAAACATGGCCCTGTCATATCACATGCGTGCAGTTCAAGATAACTGTACAATTGATATAGTTTTTAGGTCCTATAAATATGTACTGTAATATCCTTAAAACCTTGCAAATCCATGATGTCGGTTTATATATTGCTTAGGTACATATTAATCTGGTATACATTTTAAACAAAGTTCTTTTTTATAAAACATAGTTTTGGATTCTGGAGACAATAGCGTCAAATATTTATAGACACTTTTCCTTTAAATCCGTAAATTCATATAGTTATTAGTCATCAGACCCCTTAGTTAAGTCACATATGTATATCTTTTAGAAAGCTATAAAGGAAAGTATCTTAAACCAAGATGAGTATACTTGTAAAAGATGCATTTACCTGAAGAGCAAATGTTGATTTTTCATTAAAATTTACCGTAAATATGCTCAAATCTGAGTAAAATGAGAACTATTTTTATATGTAGAGTCATATCAAGGTAGTTTCTTACAATAGACGAATATGTGCCACCGCATATGAGGAGAAACTGGCGAGTATATCTAAACGTTTCATTAACTTTCGATTGTCACAATCTTACTACTTATGTACATACTACTCTATATACAGGTCATGGCTCATATTCGGCTATTACGAAGTGAAGTCATGATGGGAGACTTAATGGTGGCTGAAGGTACTCTTCTTTATAGCGTTTATTATATTTAAAACTTTTCTTTTCAATTGATTGTTAGAAGGAAGGTGAATGGTCGGCGGCGTGCAATGTTTTTGTAATAAAATGTTGTAACAGAAATTTAAATAAAGTTAGTACTCTTAGAAACACTCACCATAGTCATTCTTCTAACCATTTCCTCGCTGATCGGATGGCTCAGTTTCACTTTCTTGTACAACGGGTGGTTCTCGTAATATTCTATCAGACCTACGAGACTTTCGAATTCGACACTACCAATGGTGTACAGTCGACCTTCTAGTTTTATGCGACAATGCTTAATTTTCCTGTCAGCTCTGAAACAAAAAAACAAAGTTGCTTATTGCCATTAATTAATGAGATTCCCTATCAGCGTTGCCAACCACATCCGAGAGAAAAACTGTATATGAATTTGAAAGAAACTTCAGGTCAACCAAAACCAGAACTGATGCAAAAATAATTTGATTCAAGGTAGATTTTACGTATCGATCTGCCAAGTGGTAGATTTTACTAAGACTGCGTTATTGTATGGACTACTGACTTCGTAGTAAACAAAACAGATGGCGCAAGTATCTTCAACGAAAAACTGTAGATCTGAAGGTCCTTATTGAAAAACTGTGAATCTACACATAAAACTGTAGAGTTGGCAACCCTGTTCCCAACCATATCAGGTTCGTAAATTAACAAATGAGGATGATTTTTTTTTAATTTTTCCAAATATAATTACAATTTTATATTATCACACAGCGCTGGAGACGGTTTTTCAGCTCCTCATAGCAGTGCTAGAACTCCAATACTGGAATAGCCTTCAGTTGGTCAGTTACATCCGTTGGAATGTTTTCGACTGTCCCAAAACCAGTTCCCTGCGAGGTGATTTTATAATACAGGCGTCCCTCGTTTTACGCGGTTCACTTATACGCGGTTGCTCCCCGCCTTTCAGCGGCGCGCGCCTTCTGATGCATCACGTCACCGCGTGGTTTCAACGTTGCAATCGGGCATGACCTGTTTAGTCCGGCAGTCTGGCCGGTTCGTCTGCTTGTGCTTGTATACATCTGTGGGAATACGTAGAGTACAGAGTCTACCTTACTTTAACGATGAGTGCAGTTACAAACAAAAACGCAATAACGCCTAAAAGAAGCAAGAAGGTTTTAACGTTAATCGAAAAAGGTGCAATTTTGGATGCTTTGGAGAAGAAAGAGCCTGTTGCATCGATTGCAAGAAAATATAAAATTAATGAGTCGGCTGTGCGTACTATCCGTCAAAATAAATACAAAATTTATCATAGTTTACAATCTAGTGCTCCTAAATGTACAAAAGTGGCTGGGTATACGAGAAGTGGCCCTATTGAAAAAATGGAAAAAGCTTTGTCTCTGTGGATCGAAGATCAAAATAAAAAGCGGGCACCTCTTACTTCAGCTCTCATTAGGGATAAAGCGACACGCCTGTATGAGAATTTCGTAGATGATGAGCCACTGTCATCAAAACATATATTCAAAAACATTTTTGGCTAGTAAAGGATGGTTTGAAAGATTTAAAAGTCGTCATAGCCTACATAATCTTAAACTGCAAGGGGAAGCAGCTTCAGCAGATATTAATGCAGCAAGGGAATATCCTGGGTAAGTTTTAAAAATCATTGAAGAAGAAGGTTTTAAACCTGAGCAGGTTTTTAACGCGGACGAAACTGGCTTGTTTTGGAAAAAGATGCCAAACCGTACATTTTTATCAAAAGAGAAGGCCGCACAGGGCTTTAAAGTAGCAAAGGATCGTCTCACACTTTTGCTTTGTTCAAATGCTTCTGGAGATTGTATGATTAAGCCTTTATTAGTGCACAAGTCATTGAATCCCCATGCTTTAAAAAACAAAGACAAAAATAAATTGCCTGTGTTTTGGCGTGCCAATGGTCATGCATGGGTAACTGGAGACATTTTCTTAGACTGGTTTGAGAACTGTTTTATACCAGAGGTTAAACGTTATTTGACGTCAAAAAATCTTGAATTTAAGGTGTTAATGTTCGAGTAGAATTTTTTCTACCAAACACCACATCAATCCTACAGCCTCTTGATCAGAGAATCATTGCCATCTACAAAGCTTATTACACGCGACGCACGTTTAAAATACTGTTAGAAAACTTGGAACGCGACCCTACAAAAACATTAAGCCAATGCTGGAAGGATTACACTATTGCAGATTGCCTACATAATATTAAAGAATCGATTGGTGAACCTTAAAAATCGACATTAAATGGCTGCTGGAAAACTTATCGCCAGAAATTGTGAAGTCTCATGCGAAGGTGCCTGATATCAGAGAAGAAATCCAAGAAATTGCTGATTTAGGAAAGTCATTACCTGGACAGGGATTCGATGATATGAATGAGGACGATATAAATCAGCTGTTTGAATCGCATAATGTTGAACTCACTGAAAGAGAACTCATAGAACTGACGGAGAACAATTATGAAGCTCAAGAAAAAGGCGAAGGTGATGAAGCAGTCCCGACACCAAAGGAGTTCACGTTGAAAACGCTTAATAAATGTTTTACCATGGCACACGATCTCACCGTGCTGTTAATCAGGGAAGATCCTACAATGGAAAGAAGTTTAAAAACTAAACGAGAGGTTTTTGCAGCATTAGCACCATACAAGGAAGTTGAGAAGAATTTACGCAACGAAGCTAAACAGTAAAAAATTACGTCTTATATTTCTAAAAATTAATATTTTTGTTAAGAAATTAACGTTTAATGTTCTCATACATAATATGTGCAAACATACCTATGTATATTATGTATTTAACAAAAGTTTATGTAATAAAATGTTTTTGTTTCGATATACGCGGTTTCTTTTTACGCGGTGTTTTCAAAGAACGTTACCCCCGCGTAAAACGAGGGACGCCTGTAATATATATAATATAAATAAAAATCTTCTTGGAAGGCGGAAATTCTTGATTCAACCAAGTCTCATTTTTCTCTATAAAAAACTTCTTATCTCTATGACAATATTTCCATCTAATTTCCACATTTCTAATAAAATTCCTTAAATATTTGTCTAATGTTTTTACATTGATGTTTTTGTGGTGTAAAAGATATAACTCATGAGTTTTTAACAGTTGAACTCTGTTTTTGGATCTGTTCAAATACAACTCCTTAAATAAGTCTATATTTTTCTGCCGCACACTAAACTCTAAAAATTCGTCTACAGAAGTTGCAAATATATGCAGCTAGTGTTTTCTTCATGTGTTGAGGTGTATGAAACGCACATTTTAAACTTGTATTGAAAAAAATTGAAATGCTTGCGCTCTTTTATCGGAAACCTTAGTGTCAAACGTCTGAAAAAATTACACGGATTTACTAAAAAATATGCCACGACAGCGCAATTCCGTTGTTTTTCCAAACTTCAACTATATAACTTAATCGGTCAGATCCTTCTGTGATTACTGTTACGTCATAGGACACGCCTAAATTTTAACAAAATTCATGATTAAAATTGATAAAAAATATTTTTTTGTTTTGAAGTTAAGTAAATGAGAGATGAAATAATGGAAGAAAAAAGAAAATGCTGCAAATAGGTAACTTTGGATTTGAAAAAATATTTTAGCAGAAAAAGTAAAGAGAAACATATTTATACTTGGTTACTATTTTCGCGGAAATGGTGCCCTCTGAACCACTGTGCGGCGCTTGTATCTTTTTTGTAGCGAAGATCTGATGAACATTGTTTCAGTTGTAGGACCGTGCGAATCATTTATGGTTGATGTCCACTAAGTTTCAATACGAGAGAGAGGCGTGCAATACGTGTTAAAAAGAGTGCTCCGTGACCGTCCTAGCTGTCATTGGCAGGAAACGTGTTGATTATTTATGGGCGCACCCTTTCGAACTCTTCATAACTCTTTCTAACATACAGGACTCCAGCCAGGCGAATAACGAGGCTGACGAGCCACAGAAATCTTTTTACTGGCCAAAAACTCGTTTATTGACATTGCTGTGTGAACAGGAGCATTATCGTCATGTAACAACTAGTTGTTCTTGATATGATGAACGGTGGTGTGAGTCAAATGTAACTCTTGCCCGATCATTCTGACTTTCAACCAACAGTCTAAACGCACAAGATCCCGGATTCTGTCGATCTTTTCATTGGTTCTTGAAGATGAAGGCCTTCCGCTCCGTGATTCATCTTCAAGCGACTCTCTCCCTTCTGAAAATCCTTAAACCAGCGAAAAACCTGGGCTCTTCACAAAATACTACCCACGTAGGCCTGTTTAGACAGAGTTTCTCTTGTACTATGCCAAAGTCTAAAGCAAAACCTGATGCACACAGTTGCTTGGACGCTAGAAAAAACTGTTTATAGTACTTGTACTCAACTCAAATTTGTTTAATAATCATAATAATAATAATAAAACACAACCAAATGATCGAGCGTTACACTGTGCCCAAGTCCGAAGCAAAACCTCATAGCACACAGTTGATGTCACTCATTTTTAGAACACATTAAGAAAAACTATTTCAGAAAAAAAATAGCTAAGAACGACCAAATTACTTGAGCGAGTTCAAACTTGTACTGAAGGCGGATCATATGTTCCCCTGTCTCCTCTCCAAGCCCCGCCACTCCAGTGTTGCCAGATCGAACACTACGTTGCAAGCCTCATCACTTAATTTACAGACCTCCTTTGTTGCCCACTTACAATTTGTAAGATGCTCGTCATACTCTTTTGAATGTTTTCTAAAGTCTTCAAATGGCGTCCTTTCAGGACATTTTTTAGTTTCAGAAAAAGGAAAAAGTTACACGGACTGAGATCAGGTGAATAGGGGGGCTGCGGAACCACTGAAACGCCCCATGAGGGCAAGAATTCTGCTCAAATGTGAGGTTTTTCGGCACCATTTTGCAGTCTCAAAAATCATGTGGTTACGGATTAAGTTGACGGAGAATCCAAAAAATCAAGCAAAACATATATACTAAGTGACATATAAATCCCAACACCCAGTTTAAATGATTTTATTTTAATAAAAGTTGGTGAATGTATTTATCTTACTGTAAATAAAAAGTGAAAAAATTTTCAGCCTTATCAGTTGGACATTCCGGTTTTTATACTGTTTTTTCTTAATTCACTAACGCTCTAAAAATGAATATTTCAGCCGCAGTAAAGAATCAACGTTGGCGGATTTTGGTTCTTCACATCCTTTACGATCGGTTACGATGCCTAGAGTACGGAGACCTGTACGATTTCGTCAACTTAGTGAGTTTGATAGGAGCCGTATAGTGGGACTTCGGGAAGCTGGACTTTCTTTTCGGGCAATAGCAGTTAGAGAAGTGTAGACACTGTGGTTAGGTGTTGTCAGGCATGGCTTCGAGAAGGCCGTACGCAAAGAGCAAGGGGCACTGGACGCCGCCGTAGAAAAACAGACCGTGAAGATCGCCGCCTAAGATTATTGGCCTCAAGGGACCGTTTCTCCACTACCAGGTCCATTGCAAATGAATGGTTTGCAGAACACGGAAGACCTATTGGCATGCGAAGTGTTTACCGACGAATGAGAAGTTTTGGCTTGTTTTCATACCGGCCACACTGGGTCCTCCCTTTAACTCGAGAACACCGACGTAATCGCCTTGAGTGGTGCAGACAACGGTCACTCTGGGATCAGGAATGGAACAGTATTCTCTTTACTGACGAGTCTCGATTTTGTTTAGGCATGCACGATGGTCGTGCCAGGGTTAGAAGGCGACGTGGTGGAAGGAGGAATCCACAGTTTTTTGTTCAAAGACATGTTCATCACACTGTTGGAGTTATGGTTTGGCGTGCTATAGCTTATGGTTCCAGGTCACCTTTAATCTTCATCAGAGGTAACATGAACGCGCAGCGTTATATCCACGAAGTTCTAGAACCCCATCTTTTACCCTATCTTGACACCCTGGCAGATCCAACTTTCCAACAAGATAATGCCCGACCACATGTTGCAAGAGTCACAATAGACTTCTTTCAACATAATGATGTCACATTGTTACCATGGCCACCAAGATCTCCCGACTTATCCCCAATTGAGCACGTGTGGGATATGATGGGTAGGAGATTGCTCAATTTGCAACGTCCTCCTCAGACTCAAGAAGCACTTCGAGAGGAGTTGGTGGTTGCCTGGAATGAGATACCACAGGAGGACATTGACCACCTGATCAGAAGCATGCCTAGGCGCGTTGGAGAATGCGTACATCAGGGTGCATCCACACATTATTAAAGGTCAAATTGCTTTAAAGCAGTGCAATCATTTTGAAATTTTTATCATTTACTTATTATGCTTCATTAAGTACTTATACAAAATTTTATTAAAATAAAACCATTTAAACTGGGTGTTCGGATTTATATGTCACTTAGTATAACTCACCTAAAACTGATCGTGTAGCAATTGGTATCGTTTTCGCTGGGCCTAACAAGAAACGCTCCCTCAGTCTTCACCCTTCGCAGAATTTCTTCCGCTTGTGCCTTGCTCGTGTTTTTATGATACCATTCTTCGTTTTCATGAAGATTCGGTTGTGGGACAGGTTCCTACAAAATTAATGAAAAAATAAATTAACTTCGGGCTCAGTTATAAAAAACTGTACCTGCAGTGTGATGGAAAATTCGGCTGTAACCAAAGGAGAGCTGCGATAATATGTAATAAGACTATACAAACTGTCAAAATGCTTGGCATCAATCAGGTAATATTTGGTCTGCTGTTTATCCTGTTTAGATCTGATGCGACAGTGATTCACTTGTCCGTTGCGCCAGAAAGATAAGCAGTATTCTCCGACAAAGGTCACGGAAGCTCTTACCAGAAACGTACCATCACCTGAAAGTTTGGTGGCTTAAGTCTATTAATTGCACTCATGTATAAAACAACAAAAAATTTTTATTTCGCTAACCAGATGCTTTTGAAATTTTAGTTTCTTTCTGGCATACCTAAATGCGAATAGGCTTTTAACAACTGCTCAGCTTCCTCCCTGCCCTTCGCCAACCTCCCATGAAACCATTTCTCGCCAAAATGTAACTCTTCATTAGGGACATTTGCTTTCGTTCTTTGAAAATTTCCACTTTCGTCCTCGTCCTCCGACTTCTCCGACTCCTACAAAAAATACAAATATTAGTAACTAATATTAGGTACCGATGTTTATACAAGACAAAGAATTGCAGGCATTGCAACTATGATATGCTTAAGCTATCACAAGTGAAGGTATAGAAACGGTTTGCAGTATAATCGTTCCGCCACACTTTTCTTGGCAGAGACCAACGTATCCGATTCTGCTCCGATTAACCACCTCAGCTTTTCAAGTTACGAGGTGCACTCCAATTTGAAGAAGAACACAGGAGTTGTGGTCTTTCTCCGCTCTTTCTCTTCTTTTCTGCTCCAGAGACGTTTCTATGGAATCAGGCCGGAAGGACATTCTATGGCTTCGCCTCAATTCCAAACAATCCCCCAAAATTTATTTGCTGCCTCTATCGCTCTCCCCCGCATAACTGGGATGACTTACTTGAATACCTCGCTGTCAAGATCGACTTCCTGAACATCAATCACCTTACTTCAGAGGTAGTTCTCATCAGTGATTTCAGTGTCCATTGAGAGCTCCGGTTGGGCTCAAACAAGACCAATGTAGCAGGTCGTGCAGTTGAAGGAATGATCCAGCTGGTGACGCGCCCTACTTTTTTCGTCCGCGTTTCTGACCACGCATCCTATCTCTTACAGCATTGCTATCTTATCTCCCCTGGGTAACTCAGACCACGGTGTTTTGGAGATCAGGTCTTGGTCAGAACTGGCTGTGACAGCAGAAACTGGCCCAGGCTGCAAAATTTGGCATTACGGACATGCTGACTGGGAATGGCTCTGTGACTTCTTCTCCACCTTTCCTTGGAGAGATGTTTGTTTCGCTGACGCGGATGCGTCGGTTATCTGTTTATCGATAACCGAAATTATCCACGTTTGGTGGAGGAATAGATCCCTCATACAGTGAAAGTGCTTAAGCCAGGGAGCAAAGGCTGGTTCAATAAATCGGCAACACTGCTCGTCAGCAGAGGATCAAGGCTCACAGAACCTTCTCACAAATCCGCACTGAGAGAAAGAGTACAGAAAAGCTAATGACGGGTTCAGAAACAAATATAATCAAGCGGCCCGCAATGCCAAAGATACGCACGAGGTAAAAATTAGACGCATGGCAGCGCAAAGCCAATCCCTCTGGATGCTGGCCAAGCAGATGGAAGGGAACTTCTCAAAGAGTAGCTTTCCACCGTTTACGTGCCAGGATGGAACGATTCAAAGGCGTACCAGTGCCGTCGATTCAAAGGCTTCCCTACACTATGTGGGGAGTAACCTTCAGGAATAAGACCGTAAGGCAGGTGCTCTTGTCGCTGGACATCAACAAAGCTTCTGGTTCGGACTTGATTCCTGTTGCTGTACTGAAGAGATGCGTCGAGCACTACTCACAGGATTGGGGTGCTGCGACCCCGACTATATTATCCATGCTCGATGCTGGTCAGACGAGAACTGTCCGACGATAGATCGATAACTCTTCTCTAACGGACAGGCCCTTTTCTAACGGACGGGTCGTCGGCGATCTATCTCTCTTCTACCGGTATGTCAACGGGCTTTGCTCCGCAGAGCTATCCTCAATGCTGCCGCCGCACGATGAGCCCGCCATACAGTCCCGCCGATACGATAGCTCCTTTGTCCCTAGGATATTGTGGGACAATCTACCTGAGGAGGCTTTTCCAGTTCCACAACCTTAGGCCGTTCAAAAATTCGATGAACAAAATTAAAAAAGGTAGAAACAACATTTTAACTTACCGTTTGTTCAGATCTATAGCTATCAGTGTAAAACAACTTGTTTTGCGTTAGAACGAAAAAATGAGGATTCCACTCTTTATCTACTCTATCTTCAAGGTACATGATTCCGTTTTTTACGGAATTTCTCAGGTCCATTTCATTCGCGTCATTTCTAATGAGAAAAGAACCATCTTCCTGACCCTCAGGAAGTTTTTTATGCTTCAAGATTATCTTCCGTCGCAAAGAATAAGGGGAAGGAAGTTTTGATTCGCCTTTTTCAACTGGATGTGTTAGAAGCATATCACCAAACACTTCCTAAAAAAAACACACACACATTTCACTCTCTCAATTTGCTCGAGAATCCTTGCAAGAAAGATCTAAATGATATTCTCTAACCTAACTAATGGACCTAGAGAAGTTTATCCGGATTTTGTCTTATAGTTTGATATTACTTCTCAAATTTTCTGACAAGACAAACGCCCCTTAGGTGTAGAAGTACTATTTCTCGCATTTCGTATCCATAAACAACGCACATGCAGTATTTGTGGTCAAAGATAGCATAACAATTAACCGGTGTGTTATGAAAACAGTTCTGGGTGGGCTTTCGCGTTTTCGCAATTGAATAAGCTATATTGTCAGAAGTGTCAATTGTACTTGAAAAGGGTCACCGTTGGATCCGAAACGTCCCAGAAAAAATAGGAATTTAAACAATGTGATTTGGATCGGCCAAACAAACATGTGGGATTATAAGCTCCTTTGAATTATGATATTTTTTGAAAGTTCTCAACAGAGATTTTTGCAAGAACCTTTTTCGCACATATTGGAGCACTTTCAAGTATCGAAAATTCATCCACAACTTTTTTGAAACATCCGCATTTTTGTACATGTTGTTAGGTCCCTCCAATTGAAAAGCGGCTACTACCAAAAATTCGTACAATCACCTTTTTCAGTCAATCTAATATGTCTCAAGGAATGCCACTCACAAAAGCAGACAAGTTATAAGCTTCTAGACAGAGACGTCGTTACACTTTCCAAACTAACATTTCTGCTCAACTAAACATCCCAGTATTCAAAATGAAAATACCGATTCTTACTCACTTGCATAGCTTGCGCCATCTTCCTCTGCTGTATCACCGAACAGTTATCTTCAAATGAAAGTATCACAGGATATTCAGAAGCCACGAATGCGTGCTCCTTGATGGTTTTGATCACGTCCATGAATTTTATTTTGGTGGTGAGGGTATGCCCATGGTATATGAACGGCATACCATCTGGACCATCCCAACAATCGAGCTCTATACATCTGCAACCCATCCTTAGACATCGAACATATGCTTCTATGGACGATTCGGACGAAAATTGGTCTCCTGTCGAATATCTGCAAAGAAGAAAGTCATCCTCTTCAGGTATGTCTAGCGTGACAGTCGAAGATAATATTTTTCGCAAATTGATAGATGCACAAGGGTTGAAAAAAACATGATTTAAAAAAAAATCATGCTTTTTTTGTTTAAAACTAGAACCGCATATTTTATCTCGTCGCCAATGGGACGTCTTCCATTAATGGAAATAAGTGATTTTTCAAGAACTCTTCATACACTTCATTTAAATTGGCGGGCAGAAAATGAGGTCCAATTAAATATACATCAATGATGCCCATCCACGCATTGACTGAAAACCGGCTCTGAGACCCTGTCAGTCTTATTTTTCGGGGGTTTAAAGCTTCTTTATTAGGGTAGTTAGTGATCCCGATTCATCAGTCCACAGAATTTTCTTAAAATAGTCTGGATCTTCTGTATCTGCATGTAACATGTACCTGCAGAAATCTAATCGTCTTGCAGGATCGCCCTCTTCAATCACATGCACAGGCGTGTAGTGATAAGGGTATAATCTTGCAGTATCCACAGCAAACCATACTTTGTATTGTGATATACCCAACTGAGCAGCCACAATGCGCGTAGACGTAGTAGGGTCTTCCTGAAACACACGAAGGATTTCCTCTTCATCTTCAGGAGGATAGACTCGGGGTCAGCCAGCATCACCATGTTGCCTTTGAACACGTCCGGTTTGGCGGATGCGCCGATACACAGTAACATGAGATGTTCGGCGATTCGGGAAACGTTGCCGATATTCAAAGCGGGCAGCTGCAGAATCGCCGTTACAAAGTCCATAACAGAACATTATGTCTGCGTATTCTTCATTTGTAAAAGTTTGCCCGTGCTCGCTATGACGAGGTCCTGGCGGATCTTCTGCGTCTGCCATGATGATAAAGAAACCACTCAAAATGAACTGGAAAACTCGAAAATAATAATCGTGCGTAAAACGTGTGCGCGTACGCAGTAGTTGATACGAACTAAACCTAATTCTCACTCGGCGTGCGGCGATGGCGTAACTACAATGATGAATAATAACAGCCCTCGCTCTCTCTCACTCCTCCACTAAATCAGCTCTTCTCGCTCGCTTCCTCGTCGAGCCGATGCCATGAAACAATCATGGCATGGGAGTCCTTTGAGGACAGTAACGACTTGTTCAAACAGGTAATGCAAATTCCTTAAAAATCCAGCCTTTGTGGGTGTCATTGTTGTTTCTCTGCATGTACTTCAGATAATTGAACGCTTAATACCTCAAATGAAAGCTTGTTAGATAGAGATACTATTTACATAATTTGCACATTTCATTACTAGGAGATTTTTTACAGAAAATTGCATTTTTTATCGAATAAGTTAGTAAAAAAAAAGAAAATGATACATTTAAAAAGCGTAATTTTAAAACGTTTGTAGCTTTTCAACATTTTATTACTTATTATGAACTATTGGAATGTCTGCTATGCGACGATAACAAAAAACTTAAAATCAAGCATGGAGTTTTTTTGTATTTCAATTTTAACCGTCCGAAATCGGAATAAAAAATAAAAAACTTAAAATTCAAATAACTCAAAAATGGTTAACTTTTGGATAAGACATGATAGGACAAGATCGGTTGCTTTTGACCTAATCTATCGCCCCTTAACAGGAATACGTGACATTACAAGTCACCCTGTATAATCTAGCAACGTTAATGAAGTTCCTTAAAAGTGCTATTACTATTTTTGATCCAGCTCTATCAGAGCACATCTCTAATTTAAAAGCAGACGTCGGGAAACTACCGTGCGGTCGTCGGGGAAGTACCGTTTGCCTTTGGGTAATTTTTCGCGTTGCGATCTACAGCAGTCAAATGTGCGAAGTCGTAGCGTGGTGGTGTGCTTTGTTTCTTGTGCATTAAAGATCGGCAAACAAAGAAAGGCAATGGCAGGGAGGAGAAGGATCCCGTGTGGAAATATTTTAAGAAGGGCCAAAGCTGGCTCGAAAATAAATAAAAGAGAAAAATGTTTAACCTGCAATATGGATATAGTGCCACTGGTCGCTAGTATGCGCAAGCATATTAAAAATTGTAATCAACTTAAACAAGGAAGTTTGTTTAAAAAACAAAGTATTCATATATCAGATAGTTCTGATGCCAACAATGATGATGTTTCTACCGAACCTATTTCCTCAAAGTTGAGTAGCTTAGGGAATTGTGAAAAAGGTAATTTTTTTTTACTTTGAGTTCCGTAAAAAGTAGTGAAAACTAAAAATTTATTCTATGTACATTTTCGATGATTTTATATTTTGCAAATATGGATTTAAGGATTTTTTAATTTTTTGTTAAATAAGATGGGTTGTATACTTTTATAGAAATTTGTTAAGAAACTTATTTAATGTTATTATACAAGTAAATACATAGTCATATTATATGATTATTCTGCTGGTTGTAGTGTACTAGTATTAGAGTTCAATTTTTCAGTTTATTAAGTTCATTCGTTCGGTAAGGATCAGATTTTTTCCACTAGTATTAGTTCCCTAGTTTCATGTTTGATTAATTAATAAAAAATAAAGAATATTTTTAGTACCTATGTGTTTTAACCTATGGTCCTTTTAGTTTCGTTTTGCAAAATAAAATTTTAATCATACTTAAAAAAATATAAAAACAACTTCATAAACTACAAAAAACAGTGTTTAAGTCATGTTTTAAACAGTTTAAAACAAATTGATTTATAACACCTTCATTGTTTTAAACAGTGTTTAAATCTCGTGTTTTGAACATTTTGATTAAAACATAACAACCCTGATGCACAACATGCCTAATGGCAATAAATTTTAAGTGTTTTTGTTTATAATACTTTTTTCGTTAAAATTTTCAGTAGCCACTTTCTTGTTTGAGTTTAGATTTTGTGGTCTACCTAGTCTATGGTTGGCATGCTTTTGGCAAACCAGTGACTTTGTTAGACATGGCTGTTCTAGACTAGGTTGAAGTTTGCAATGATATTTGAGTTCTTTAGAAATGTCAACACATCATTGCAAATTAGGGAAATGGTGCTGTATTTAGTTTTTCAAATATTTGGCCGGAAGGAATTATAGATCGCGGTTTTCGTCGTATGTAAGCGCTAGTTGGGGAAACCGAGTTCAAACCGATTTTGTTGCTGCTCAGAGTGTTGTGTGTCAAACTATTTGCGAAAATGTTCATCCCCAAATGATGCGATGTCTTACCATAATATAGCACGGCATATACGCTGGTGGACATGAAAAGTATTTGACAATCCCGGAGACAGTTCGTAGATAGATAATTGAAGTTTGACTTACGTATTATGAGATGAAGAGACCCAATAATGCGACAAAGGCCTCGTCATATCATGGTAAACATTGTCTTTGTCAGGATCCCAGAGGTCATTTTGTTTGGAGAATAAATAGTCCATGAACTCGGACGTAGTCAAATAAGGCTCCTGAATCTCCCGTTGGGGGTCTTTCAGAAAATCACAGATATACTGGGAGAGAGCCTTTTCATCGTTCGCCGACGAGTCATTTTGTTCGTGTCTCAGAAAGCTCTGGAAGTCTTTTAAGCTCACTGTGTTCATAGTTCGAGGTAATTTTTCTAAAACGTCGCTACTTTCCTATAAAATTAAAACAATATAATTCAGATGGTTGTAATACGAGCCCCTTCCCACTTCAGTTGGCCCAACTATTGAAATCTAACTTTTTTTCTTATCAAACACAAATAATAAAAATGTAGCAGGGTGTTATAGGCTTAAAATATTAACAATAAATATTTTGATAATATATAGTAGAAAACACCAACTGTATCACTCCCTAATCAAATTTGCAGCATAAAAATAACACATGTTGCAATTACAGCATATCAACCTATTTTCATTTCAAAGGAATAAGTCTATAACGCATAGATGGCTGTGAAAAATAAAAGCCATGACAATTGTTTTTATTAATCACAGCTGTCAGAATACGTTTAAAATAGTTTTGGGTAGTTAAGGTTTTCAAAATGGGTAGAGGAAAGGTTATTAGTGAGAAAATTCGGTTACTGATAATTACATTTTTTAATTCTAGGACATCAAACTCAGAAATTGCAACTTTGTTAGACTTATCGCGGTTCAGTTTGAGAAATATTGTTAGAAGATATAACGTAACGGGTTCAGTTAATATTAAGCCACGATATGTGAAAAAAAGTAATATCACAAATGCCGACCGAAGAGCATTAAGAAGAATAATCGTGAAAAACAGGCGTGCCAATTATTTACAATTAAGTGCTCTGTGGAGTTACGCTGTTGGAAGGAGAATTTCGAGGTCCACAACTCATAGAGAGGCCCACAAACTGGGATTTAGCACTTGCAAGGTAAGTTTTCTTATAAAAAAAAGTGAAGTAAAAACCCTGAAGTGAAATTTCCAGCATCCATTACGGTCTGGGGCAGTATGTCATCAAAAGGAGTTGGAAAACTTCATTTTATTGATGGAAATGTGGATACAAACAAATATCTGGCAATTTTAGAAGAATCGCTTTTACCAGTGATGGAAGAATGTTTGACATCCGGCCAAGATTTTGTGTTTCAGCAAGATGGTGCAGCGTGCCATACCTCAAAAAAGGCTATAAACTGGATGGAAGAAAATAATGTACCACTTTTAAAATGGGTTTCTAGCAGTCCAGATCTGTCACCTATTGAAACTTTGTGGCACGAGATGAAAAAGGTTCTACGACAACATCCTGCTCGTACAATCACCAAACTGAGACAAAAGCTTCAAGAAATACGGGATTGTTTCACACCAAATTTTTGCCCCAAAGAATTTCAGCCGTAATAAAAAATAAAGGTGATGTTACCCAATGGTAATCTTTCAATTGTTGCTTTGTTAACTTCGCGCATTTACATTTACATTGTTTATTTGTTCAGATGTTCTATTAGTTATAGGTCTAAATATGTATTTTTTACGACTAGAGTGTATCTAAAATGTTTTTGAGAAAATAAATTCTTTTAGAAGTAAATAGTTTCGTCATGTTTAGTTTATAAAGGCATATTTTGGTACAAATCTTGAAGTGGGCCAACTGAAGTGAGAGGGGGCTCGTACTTCCTAAAAGTGGCATGGACTTTGCAGTGACAACATTACTTTCGTTAAAGCGCAAGTGGCAGGATATTAGAATATTGATGGTCATATTCGAACCCGGTGTCCCAAGTTATCAAAGTGAGGTGAGATTCGTTCTTTTGTAGCTAAAGAATTGAGCATGGACATTTTCAGGAAGATAACTGGTTGTATAAATATCATCAAATCCGTCCCACAATTATTTAATGACCATATTCGAATTCAGCGCCTCAAATAACCCGTGTAGACATATTCAAATTCCTTTTCACAGTGAAAAATTTTGCACAGTAAAAGGGGGCCTGCTGGTTCGAATCTCCGCCTCGGAAGTTAATTCCGAACCATGGATGTTGTGTTGTGTGTTGCCTATATCACGCATCAGATCGGTGCAAGATCAATACAGATACATCGCAAGGCTGCAGCTGGTGTATTCAATACTCAGTTAGTCAGAAGACTGCGTGTGGAGTAGTACAGTGTTGGTATTATGTGATCAACAAAAAATGAGGTCAAGTAAGTTGACTATGCACTTATAACATAAGTTAGCCCTTCGGAGAAAAAAGATAGCTGCGAACATTTACCACAAAAAATTGCCGATGACCAATCTCGCGTGAATGCCGATATTGGCCTTCACCTTGGACAGTGCACACAGCTCTTAGCAGTGCGGAAACGATTGTCGAGTGCGACGTACGACGATCGTCCATCGGGGGATCACGTCGTACGCATTGATACTCGACTGTTGGACATATTGTAAGTTTTATGGGTAAATGTGCGCGGACATCTATGATGAGTGAAACACGCCTAACAAGAATTACTTGCGTTGGAAGCGTATAAATATACAAAGGTAAAAAAAAATGCAATATACGTTTTTTGTTCTAGTAGTAATATTGAGTGAAAATTGAGAGGTACTTTCAAAGATATCGAGGGCTCAAGGATCAGCGGACAGACAGACTGTCAGAAATGAGTGATATGGCTTTTCTTGATCTACATGTCACATTTTTTCGCGATAACAATACATCCTCGACAGTAGGCGTGGGAAGTAAAAGGGTCAAAGGTAACCTAGTTGCCAGGCTTCACCTCCCCTTCACTACTTCTACTACTACCTGCACAAATTAGCTGAATAATCATTATAACATGTACCGTGAATACTCACACTTTCATCGAATATGATTTTCTGGTATAATACAGAAAAATCATCAAAACCAATCTCGCCTCTTTTCCTCGTATCAACCTCACTGAACACTTCTCGAAGTTTGTTTGTTGGCATTTTATGGTTTATTCTCAAGAAGAATGATTTTAGGTCCTTCATGTTGACACTAAAACAGATCAAATATTAATACTTGAAGATCATAATATAACATTTTTTGTTCATACGTCTCTCTAGGGCTCTCCATAGAATAAAATTCTCTTCTTAACCAAGCTTGAACTTGCAAAGGATATGGTGCACTGATAGTATCTTTGAAAAGGTATTTAAGGCCTCTAACCCATAGTTCACACTCAGCCTCAGATAGAGCTAGAAAAATAAATATGGTAATAAAAAAAGATGCAGACTAACAAACTGCGAAGTATACAATGCCACACAGAAATGCAACTCCCGACGATATTGCATATTAATTAATGTTTTATTTTAACGTGTATATTCCACCCCCAATTCAATACTGCCCTAACTGCAATGTTAAAACTGTTAAACTACCAACATTATAACATTCCACTTACAGCAGCATTAAATTGGGGGCGCCATATATCTTCTGTTGACCATTTGTATGCAAAATTTATGGCTTTTGTCCTATACCAGGAATATTGATTATTATTATAAGTACTACAAACTAAGCTAAGAAAGAAATTGAAGCTACAAACATTCCTTTAGATGAAAGAGTAGAAGTCCCATTGGCAGACTGTGGAAAATGCCTGTTTATATTGACCAAGCACTTTTCTGGAAAAAACGTTAAATGACGCATGCTATACCATTAGCGTACTAGATCCTAAGACACTAAAAATGGTATAGTACGCGAATTTTGAGTCCATTGCACGTTTTAGCCTAATTTTCTTCAGACACAGTAGCCATATCAATAGGATCTTATTAGTGAAGAAGCAAGTGGTGAGGTGCAACCTAAAACTTTCCTCTAGAGGAACTTACAGAGGAAAATTCAAGACCAATGAAATTTTTACCGCGCAATCATGACCGTCCATATAGCAAAATCCAGGGTGAAGGGGCATGTTTTATTTACAGGTTGTGCAGAATCAAACATGTTGAGAACTAGGCAACTCGTTGATGACAATCAGAAATAATATTTATTTAAGTATTTATTTATTTACTCGTGTTTGGGGTGCAACAGTATGTGAATTCCAAAGACAGCACCCGCTGCTTACTATAGTGATAAAATAAAAAGATACATAGATTACAAAATCCAGAAGATATGAAAATCTGTAACACAAGCCTACTATATCTTCTATGTTAGGATGTTCTCACACGCCACTTTTTACCCAAGGATTGGGTATCTTATTAAGAATATTTTACTTTGAAGCACAATCCAGGGGGGGCATATGCCCCCTTGCCCCCCACCTCCGAAATGGGGGTAATATATATAACCAAGAATATTTTGAAATCTGTAGATGTTACATGTATTGTTTTAGTTTTTTGGTTTGTTTCATTTGTTTTTTTGTCTTCTTGACACTGTGACGTATATTTCACCTAACAGTGTCTAATACATAGTAATAATGATGCACTGTTATTTTGAAATAGAGATTTATTATTATTGCAACAGTAGGCCCAAGGGTCTGAACAACATTGTTGTGTAAAGTCACAATTGCACGTGGCAGTCCCGCAGCGTGTACCAAACTCGTAAGATCATAGAAATCTGCCCACAAATACAGAACATGTTTTAGGGAGCTGCACTGCTGAGTAGTATTGTATATGCCATGTTCAAACCTACCTGCCACACTGAGTACTCTTAAGTTGAACTCACTGCCATAGAACACCACAAAACATTTAGAGCTCTCAATTTTCTTTGCATCTTCTGGCCACTTCTCGAAGTCCTTTGAGTTCTTACCAAGTCTAACTTCCTTGACCTCGCCTAGATTCACGGCGCCATCAAATGTTGTCTTGGTTGTCGGTCCTGGTCGAGTCCACACAATTTGTCTGGTCTCTCGTCGGATAGCCAAAGTAGTTTTCCGTTCAGCTTTTTTCCGCCACGAAAACTTCGTGACCAATGTTCCTCTTTCCAATTGGCTGATTATTTGCTCCATCTCAGGGATATACCCTGATGGGGATGTGTTTAGCACCCCATTAAATAGGCCAAACATTGTTGCTAGAACAATTTATGTTTCAGGAAGTCAGACTCTGAGTGTACAGGGTGTTTCAATAGATGCTTTGAGAATAAAGTAGTTGCCATTTTTCAATGAGCTGACCTAGAAGTTTTATGTTGCACATGTGCCATTCAGAGACTCTGCAATATGCAATTTAATTGTGGTTCATTTTATGATAGAGGAATGAATTAGAATTGTGTTACCAAATAAAGGAAATGGATAATTTTTTCATGAAAATTTTGACGGGGAAGGTAAATGTACATGGCGATTGTTACTGCAAATATAAAATTTTCATAGCTGCAGATGGTTAATATGCACCTTAACAATATCTTCTTTCAACAAAATGGAGCCATAAACTATATGGTGAGGGAAATAATGAAATTGTCATAGATATGCTTTTCTGATGGTCTTACTTTTCACAATGATAATGTCCACAGGCTACCATAATCACTGAATCATGAATCTAACTCTACTTGGCAAGTTTTGTGGAAATTCCTCAAGGATAAAACCTATTCAAGCAATCGGTAGATGGTTAATGACCTTAGGTGAAACATTTCTTGAGCTATAGAACATGACCGGCACTTGTACCAAAATATTACTGAAGATTTTAGCCAAAGAATAACCATCTGTATCATAACACATATACTTCTACATCCTAATATCAACAGACCTGTTATATTTTGGGTTCTATACAAAAACAATCTTGAAATATCTATTGAGACATCCTTTAGTTTTACAAGTTCCCTGTTCCAATATATTGTTTGTTACCAATTAAAACACCATAGGAAGTGTGAGTTTGACGGCTTTATGTCAAAAGACGTTATCTACAATTTCTGTAGAATCTATACCATTAAACTATACTACTTATCTTTGCTTTAGTGTCAACAAAATGCATCTCGACCACAATCTTTTATTTGAGTATTGAAAATGAGGTACATTTCTTTGACACCATACAAAGGATAAAGATAGTGAACACCAAATAGAGTATGGTGGATTTAAAAATAGTGATTTCACAATTGTAGAAGACTTTTGACATAAAGCCCTTGAATTAATAGCTGTAATAAAAATTTACCTTCGTTTTGGTTTACATCTCATACTTGCAATGAAGTAACTACTGTGATATCAAAAATTCAGTATTTGGAGGAATTATTGTGTATACATTCTCACACTTTAGCTTGAAATCTTTAAGGTTTCACACATACTGAGGGATAACAAGGGAGGATGTTCAGGATGTAACATTAAAATTGAAAATACTGAACAAAGCCTCACCATTCAAGTTAGTTTATCACATTGGTGTATAAAGTAGGCTAATGAGTATCTAACTATTTTAGATATTCGAGCAAGAATGTAGAATAGTGTTCAGATAAATACACAAGAAACATTGTATAGATAAGTCTAAACATGATCCAAATGGTGAGGTTTAAAAATAGGTGAAACATCAAAGCACAAATTCAAGCTCAAATTCGCTAGATTGGGTTTCCTAGAAAATCTTAATGAATTTTTTGGCAACATGCGTTTTTATTCTGCGTAACACCGGCGAACAAATGCACGAAAACCTGTTTTTCGAAATTTACGTTAGCATATTTCAAGCTTCTTTAGTTAATGTTTTTTAGTTTATGGCTCACAGATTTTTTTATGAAATTACTAGCGTTGTTCTAGACAGTCTAATAGTGCTATTTCCGCTTAAAATAATAAAATAAGGGCACAAGCTTTCAGCCCTACTTACCAAAAAATATGTTAAAAGATAAAAATTACACTTTTCACTTAAAACTTATACTTCTCATTATACCGTTTAGAGATTTACAAATTGTAAGAATAAAATCTAGATTACAACGAATAAAACATGTTCATTAAAATTTATTTATACTTTAAAATAAAAAATAGAAAATAAGTTGTTCCTGACGTATGCCAAAACTTTTGACATTTCATACATCTCGTCCGCTCGTCCCCACACGGCACACAACACAGCACTTGACAGTCTTGACATTTGACCCTCACCGTCGGTAATTCAAGGTTGGTGCTTATGTTTTGTGAGTTTGTGGGGATGCTATCGGTAGCTATGCGAGATCCCACAAGAGGTCGCTATCGTTTCTACGTTAGATTTTTGTTCATATTACAGTTTTCAAAATTATCGATAAGGATAATCTTCCGCGCCTTCTCGTGTCAAATAGTTTAAGTTCTTCCAAAAATATTCTTACACTTTCTTACAGATTTCTGAAATAATAACAAATCAAGGAATTCGATAAAGATAAAAAAAAGTGCCTCCAAGAGAGATCGTTACTTTATTATACAAGGGAAAAAGTACTAGAAAGCCAAAATCTAGTATTTTTCCCGTGTATAATACACAATTTTCTTCTGTGTCGGGAAAAAGGACGATTTAATATTGAAAAATTATATGATTACAATATTTAAGTCAGAAAATTATCGTTGTGAAATATGAATTTTGAAATTAGTAGGATATATGTTGTACTTATAGTGACAATTAGACCTGCGTTGCTAAGGAAACTTTTAAAGTAATCAAATAGCTGTCAATTTAATTTTGTGATTTGATTTAAAAATTGTGATCTTAGTGGTATGTTTAGAAGTTATTTTTAATACCTACTATAAAGTAAAAAATGTCTGATTCCGAGTTTTCTTTGACCCTACCGGAATTAGTAGAAGAAGCCAAAGTAGCGTCACAAAAATTATTGCCAGCTAAATCGTTTATGCAATATTCGGGAAAAAAGGTACTCATTTTTTCTGGGGGAAAAGGTAATTTCATAAAAAGTGACATTTTGTTACCTGTAAACAGAAATAGAATGTCAAACTTTTTTTCCGTTACAGAAAAAATGTAATTTTTTCATGAATAATAATAATTATAAGAAATTTGTTTATACTACTCTAATCTATCACCCCAGACAAGCAGTGTTACGTTCACCATTTGCCTTTTGCAATATAATTTATTATGCGACAAGCTTTAGTCAAAAAGTCCAGTTATATGTATACCATGTAAAAAGCGTCTGATGGGTAAATGATATTGCCCCAATTATTATTTGTGTTGACCAAAATTATGTTGAATGGATTATAAAAATGTTTTTTGGTGTCTGTATCTCGGTATACTTATGTAATTCGAAGCGCTGAGTCCGAATATGACCACCAAAAAATTAAGCGCCGAAAAAGGAATTTGATGTAGAAAAGGAGCCCCTCCAGTCTCCAGTCCCAGTCACAGTGCTAAATTGATATCAGATACGTAAAATTTACGTAGGCGGTTTTTCCTCTGCGCTATCGCGGTGCCACGTCTGCACGAGTTAGGTATCAGGGAGAGGCGACGTTTTCAGATGCACTACCGGTAGGGCAGGGAAAAAATGCCTATGGGGCCATGGGCTAATTGTATGGACCTTTTTTCTCAGAGAGTCTAGTTTGTGCTGAACATATTCCTTTATGTACTGATAAGGGCGTTGTGTGGGAAGTGCAGAGTCAATCTACTTGTCGCCATTTTTTTATAATTTTTTCTTTCCAATCTGATCTGATTTCTGAGTTCCATCAACAAAGTAGCTGACACAAAGCATATCTAACTAGACCACCGGTCAATTTTAATGAAAATTCGTAGGTATAGCAATAATTCATGTTGTGCTGATCAAATGTTCCAATAGGAGCAAAACCCAGAAAGGATTTCTGTTGATATACACGGTGTAAGAATTTGGTGCCTTTTAGCCACTGTGGTGCGCATTTCTAAATTATATCGAGATATTCAGGGTGTTGCACAATTCCCCGGCACAATATCAGACTTATAACGAGGCGAATGGTGTAAAAATATACGGCAAGTTTCATTTAAAATTTCTCCTTTCCTCTTTATTCCTCTTTCCTCTTTCCAAAATTCAATGAAAAACTACGCAAAATGACAAAAGTCAAATCTTTCAAAGATATGGATTTTTTTCAGGCAAATATTAAAATAACAGATCACGATCAAAATCCTAGTATATTATATCAATTTTCTTGTTTTTGAAAGGTCTTTCCAAATATTTTATATAATATAGGGGAACATCTTTGTTGTGACACAGAACTATGCACCACCCTGTTTATTTCCAAATAATTCAGGAATACACACCTATAAGATGTCAATCTTCGTGCGAAAACCGTTTCCAAATATCTTATACAGCTTGCGATCTAACAACTTTTCTTTGGGAGTTAGTTTTCGTAAAATATATTTCCAATAGAAAGCATTTCTGGGCTTTGCGCCCATGAGAACATTTGATCAGCTGAGCATGAACTGTACGAATTTTCTTCAAAGTTGATACTTTACACAATATGGCTTTCAGATATGCAATACGATTAATACGATTCTGATTCCTTCAGTCCCACATTTGTTCTTTCTGGATAAGATCTAAATATTTTTTTAAGATTCAAGTTACAGCTAGCTATAGATTTAGCTATAAAAATATTATTGTTGTTCTATATAAAACAAAAAAGTATAAGACTGTAGAGCCTGAATATACCATTACGTAAGTGACCCCACATTGAATCAAAGGCGAAAATAAAACATCAAAACATCTGCGTGCCAGGAATATCTATCAAAGCTGATCAAGATTGCCCTGTTCTATTTTCAGAACTTCGTATTTGTACTTCTTCATACTTGCCACTAGCTGACAACTTTTGAATTCCAAGTCAATAAAACTTTTACGAGAAATGTATCTGGATGTAAAAGCCTCTACACTGAACATAATAAAGATTGTGATGGGACTGGTAGAATTTTCCTTATTTATATTCATATCTGCGGAAGCCTACAGCAAATAGGAATAAAATATTGTTTTACCGGTATATTCTTCCAATTTCCAGGTCGTACTCCTACGTAGCTACATCTATGAGCATTCAGTTCTTCCATATTTCTATGGAAATCCAAATGATATACAAGGCGTAATTGTTTTGTGTGTCCCATAGAATATTTAGGATTTTCGAATTAAATTAAAAAGCAGCAACATCAGTCAGTTTTTTAAACGAAACGTCCTATCGAAATAAAGCAGCACAAAGTGCCATCTATTCAAGATGAGATATTACATGATCTTCCATTCTATTTAAAAAATATTCCAAGACGGTACCTAGGTGCCATCTGGAAATTTTCAACTGTTCCTTTCGCGTCTTGCCAATTTGACCGTCAGTGTATATGTTTTGTGGTTAAAAGAATACGAGGGGCACTAACAAAGAAAATCACTATATATTGTTATTCATAGTGATAATAAATTCGTCTTTATTATAAGCAAGTACATACAGATCTAACACTAGTGGCCAAGTTTAACCGTGGACTATTCTTACACTTAACCACTAGGGCCGAAAGTTATACGTACAAAGTTTACGATGGCATGCGAAGAACAAAAAAAAAATACAAAACTCTTAAAAAAAAGGAAAAGGTAGAAAAAACAATGAATATGGTAAATGGTGGACATCAATGCAGTGACTATGCATAGTGTGTTCCTCTGTGACTCATTAATGATAAACCTTTTATATCTTTCCTGAATTGGTTTAAGGTAATCACTTCAGAGTTAGCATCAATGCTGTTACAAAGACTAGCTGCCATTGTAGGTGAAACTGCACTGAAAGAAAGATGAATTATGGTGGGGAATGGTGGTCTAGTTTACATGCCTGATGGTTCTATACTAAGTGACATATAAATCCGAACACCCAGTTTAAATCGTTTTATTTTAATAAAAGTTGGTGAATGTATTTATCTTACTGTAAATAACAAGTGAAAAATTTTTCAGCCTTATCAGTTGGACATTCCGGTTTTTATACTGTTTTTTTTTTAATTCACTAACGCTCTAAAAATGAATATTTCAGCCGCAGTAAAGAATCAACGTTGGCGGATTTTGGTTCTTGACATCCTTAAGGGACCGTTTCTCCACTACCAGGTCCATTACAAATGAATGGTTTGCAGAACACGGAAGACCTATTGGCATGCGAAGTGTTTACCGACGAATGAGAAGTTTTGGCTAGTTTTCATACCGCCACACTGGGTCCTCCCTTTAACTCGAGAACACCGACGTAATCGCCTTGAGTGGTGCAGACAACGGTCACTCTGGGATCAGGAATGGAACAGTATTGTCTTTAGTGACGAGTCTCGATTTTGTTTAGGCATGCACGATGGTCGTGCCAGGGTTAGAAGGCGACGTGGTGAAAGGAGGAATCCACAGTTTTTTGTTGAAAGACATGTTCATCACACTGTTGGAGTTATGGTTTGGGGTGCTATAGCTTATGGTTCCAGGTCACCTTTAATCTTCATCAGAGGTAACATGAACGCGCAGTGTTATATCCACGAAGTTCTAGAACCCCATCTTTTACCCTATCTTGACACCTTGGCAGATCCAACTTTCCAACAAGATAATGCCCGACCACATGTTGCAAGAGTCACAATAGACTTCTTTCAACATAATGATGTCACATTGTTACCATGGCCACCAAGATCTCCCGACTTATCCCCAATTGAGCACGTGTGGGATATGATGGGTACGAGATTGCTCAATTTGCAACGTCCTCCTCAGACTCTAGAAGCACTTCGAGAGGAGTTGGTGGTTGCCTGGAATGAGATACTACAGGAGGACCTTGACCACCTGATCAGAAGCATGCCTAGGCTCGTTGGAGAATGCGTAGCACATCAGGGTGCATCCACACATTATTAAAGGTCGAAGGGCTTGAAAGCAGTGCAATCATTTTGAAATTTTTATCATTTACTTATTATACTTATACAACATTTTATTAAAATAAAACCATTTAAACTGGGTGTTCGGATTTATATGTCACTTAGTATATTATGCGCACTATCTCTAAGAATGAACTTTTCTGTACGATATAGAAGTAAGCAAGAATTTATGGATGAAAATAATTGAGCTTCACTA